AGAAGAAGAAGAAGAAGAAGAAGAAGAAGAAGAAGAAGAAGAAGAAGAAGAAGAAGAAGAAGAAGAAGAAGAAGAAGAAGAAGAAGAAGAAGAAGTACAGAACTGGGTCTCTATACCTTTTACCAGGCAGTAAAAGTTGCCTGGTAAAAAGTGTAGAAAACCCAGGTTTTCTATCACTCAGTGCTATTTGGCATCTTTACATTATTGAAACCAAGAGAAAAATGGAATACCCTCCTAAAGCCCCTTACTTGCTTTCAGTGGGCTTCAGGCATCCTCAACTTTAGAGAAATGGTAGCTATGGAATATTTTGAGACTCACACCAGCTTCATTACAGATAACACTCTGTGTTCTCTGATGTATGCCTCCAGAGAGTAAAAGTTGGCTGAGTTGTTTTCTCAGGAACTTGCAGGTCATGTTTGCCCAGCTGCAACTTGGTTGAAACAAACCCTTTGTCCACATGAAAGTGTCAGTTGGGTAACCAGAACTTCACCCTTCAAGCTTGCTTGGGGGGTCCCATGCTGAGGGCACCAATGGCTAGCATAGTACTATAAGGGGTGATTAAGTCAGAACATGAATGCTTACAACATTGGTCACTTTTCTTAGCTACCATGTCTTTGCCTATTCTTTAGAGTTTTCTCCTAAATTATTCTTTGAAAATCCCACATGCCTATACTTGAGAAGGCAAACTTGAGTCCTGCTCTCTGGTTTCCTGAGTTGGCCACTTTGTGATGAAAATGTTCTCTTACAAAGCTGGTTGTTTCAGTGAATGACATAACCCATCATGGAAAATGGGCCTGGAACCTGCACATTGATATACTAGTTGCAATAGAGGAATAAAGAAGGCAGCAGCCTGACACTTTCAGAAACCATAATCAAAGACAGAACAATCTTCCTTGTTTCAGTTCTCTGCTCTTTCCTTCACTGCCTTCTTCCCTTACTCTATTTCTTTGTGACTTAACTGCATTTTTCAAAGTATCAAAAGTCATTTATATTTAAACACATGGAAAATTAAAGATTTCCAAATAGTAAGATATCTATTTGATCATCCTTACTCTTATGTGTTAGAAAACTGTTTGCTAAATCAAGGTGATCATTGTTAATTCAACCTACACACAGCTTTGCTTTCATTTCTGTAGATAATTTAAGACACATCCAGGAACAGACAACAAACAAAAATACAAATCTAACCATTTTGCAATTGCATATGACCAAAATAGTCTAAATTAAAAAGAAAATTCAGCCCATACAATTCAAGACACAAGACACAACTAGAGGCTAGGAATCCTATGCAATCTCACCAACAGCAAGCTTTGAGTCCATCTTCACATCTTCTAGCCAGCCTTGAACAAACCATCATGCATAAAACCTCAGAGAATTTTAATTGTGTAAGAATTCCCATGACATATCTATGTCCTTCTCCTAGTGGAGAGTTTCATGCTTTTAATGTCACATGAGAAAATCTACATTTGGACATTAAAATTTAAATCATATATATGTATATATACATATATATAGAGAGAGAATTATATGATTAAGAATTCTAAGAAAGTTCATACCTAAAAAGTGACATTTTGAAGTATAACTCCTTTGTTCATCTTCTTAAAGATAATAAATAAAAATATAATTTAAAAAATTCTAAGAAAATAAGAACAATGGTAGTCTTTAGATGGTGGATTTTAGCTGCTATATTTTTCCTTTTTCTCAAATTTCTCACAATCAACATCATTTCTTTTATTATAAAAATATTTTAAAACATTTATAGAAAAAGCTTATACAATCTGAAGTATCCAACTCTTTTTTCAGCAACATGGATTATGACCATGAAAGAGGTCTCTCCTCTCTTGATCAAGTTATGAAATTCTCATATTCTATTGCTTTCCATGTAAGAGAAAGATTTTTTAAAAATCTGCTGCAGAGTTCTGTTGTGAACACTAAAAGCTATGGCATTTGTAAATTTCCAGGTCTGTTTCCAAAGTTGGCTGGCATTCAATAACTGACAGTCATTGACAGACACCACTTTTATTATTACAGGTCATACTGGTTACTTCACAGTAAACATTTATGTCCTTTGCCTCTTCTACAGCCAAATTATTTACCTTTATAATGGTAAATCTTGGACCAGATACCATTGAATTTTGATTTCTTAGAAAGCTTAGGAAAATTGAATTTATTAAATTCAACTTTTTAATACATATATATATATATATATATACATATATATTCAATCTTACTTAGGTTTTGAAAAATAACTAAGTTCCAATTGAGAAGCCTAGTCCCTGATCAGGTTGTTCAACATGTTAATGTTAATAGAACCATGGAACAGAAACACTAGCACTATGTCTAATTAGCAAGACTGAATACTACAGAAAGGACTGAAAGCTACATCCACTTCCAGGTAGCTAGCATTTTCTGCAAAAAAAAAAAAAATCTGGTCTTTTGTATGTAGTTGGGTGATTTGCTAAATGCTCTTAATCATCATTTCTTATGGTTGGCTTGTGACTCTGCCAGTAAGTAGGCTTATGTTGCAGTGTTCCCAGTGTTTGCCTCAAGAAAGATAGACACTGTGGTGCTTCTCTGTATATACTCAGCATCCAGGATGGTGTCTGGTTCACCAAGAGCCTTATAATTGTGTCAACTTGTTGCAGAGCAGCCTGGGGGCAGGATCGCTCAATAAGACTTAGCAGGGTACAACCTTCCTGTTTGCTTCCGTGCTGCAGCTGGCATCTCTGAAGACCAGTGCGTGAAACGTACTAACAAACAAAAGTATGCATGTACCAAGTAATGACACTCAAAATGGTAGGAGAGGTGGCATAGCTGAATGCTTAAATACCCATTGCACCAAATTTCAGCACTGTCGAATTGCATTTTAGAGTAAATTATTGATCAGAAGCTATTTCTAAACTCATGAGATAATTGCCTCATTCTGTGTCCCACACCTTAGGAAGAAGTTACAAGCTATAATGAGATTTCTAGGATAAACAAAAACAGCTCATTTTCCTTTTCTAGGCATCTACTAGATAACCAGAATGGTAGTTGCCTCAATCCAAACAATTGCTTTGAATCCTCCCAAATTCAGGATGTGGGATCCACCATACCTCTTTCAGTTGTTAATGAACAACTGAAGCTCAGAGAGAATGCAGAGTACACTGAGATCTAGTATTCTCAGAGCCAGACACAAATGAAGCTCTCCTACTTTCTAAATCAGTTTCCCACTGATTTTCCTGCTTTGATTTTTGTTTATGTGTTTCTTCTGTCTTCCAGTATTTGAGTTTACCCAGCCCTACAGAAGACACTTGGTAATTTGTTCATGGTCCAAGTGAAATATTGCTAGGATCATTATTAATAGATTTTATTTCTTTTTCTCTCCTGAAAATAACCGAGTTGAAAATGTTACCCCAAGCTCACCCTAGCAGTAGGTCCATTGGATGTTGATTCACACAATCTCTCCTTCTAGTGACTTCCCTGTACAACACACCGTGAAGCAGTCAGGTTAGAAACAAGTGATGAGTGTAGACCTTACCAGTGATATTGCAGTACACTTGGAGAGGTCCAAGGGGCCCAGTACCATCAGGGTCTACATAGAAGAAGCCAGCCGTGTTCCCTTGGTGCCTGTATACCTCACAGGATTGCTCATAGATGGCTGAGAAGACACAAAGGCAGCACAGGGGAAACATTGTTTAAGTTGTTACAAGGTGTTTCTCCTACTTAGCTTTATTTCTCCAGATTCTTTCTCTCCATTCTTTTGTAGCCATGGCTTTACCCCAAGCTATTACAAATCAGTGCTCCGATGCTTGAAAGAGTTACATCTTTTATTAACTCATTCATTCTTCTATATTCATCTCAGGAGATATATCTTCTCAGGGGTCACTCATCTTCTTTGTTGAGTTACATGCCTTTTCTCCAAGCCCCACAGCATACCAAGCTAACTTCATTGGTACTAGTCTGACAGTGCATTACAAATATCTCTAAGAGTCATGGTCACACATCCTCGATATTGCATCCAAGCACGTAACAGACTTGCACATCTACACTAAGGGCCCAACAGATACTTGATCAGAGAATTTTAAAAGGCACACCTGCAGTTATATCTTGTTACTAAGAATGTACAAATCCATTCTCTTCCTCCTGTATACCCAAGCTCAGCTCAGTAAATAACATACAACAGATACCCATTCATATTCAGCCCATTTTTGCTTAAGCATTTACTAATTTTCTAATATTTTCCCTGACACATTTTCCCCAAGTGGACCGAACCATGGATTTGATGATCAACCTGTGTCCTGAAAGCTCAAGGCCAGCTGGCAACTGGTTTTCTCAGATAAGGACAGGTAAAGGTGCCCCCAAACTGGGATCTTAACAATGCTGAAGTTTGAGAAATAGATGAATATTATTAAATGAACATGAGTGAATTTTTAGAAGTGGAAAGGAGGCATTCACTACTTCATGCATAGAAGAAATAAAACGTCTGATACTTCTGACAAAATACTTTAGTTCAGAGTATCAGGTATTCATCCAATCATGTCACCCAGACATGCTTACAACACTTCAGTGGCTCCCAACAGCTTTCAAGATATAGTACAGTCTCCTCACCTTCGCCAAATCCTGCCCCTGTGACTAATGCCCCATCCCAGGAATATGAAGCTGCAGTTTGTCATGATCAAGTGTAGGGGGTGCATCAAATAATTCATTACCAGTAAAGTGCTAAAGCCTGAAAGAGCATGACTTTTTATAAATTAGAGTGAATTCAAGGTTATACTTGTACTCATGAATTCTCTCTTGCATATTTTCTGAAGCAAAAACTAAACGGGAGTGTCTCGGTTTGCATCATTTATCTGGAGTATAGCATGCAGCATAAATATGTGAAACATATACTATATATAAAAACATATTATACTATATATAACTTATAGAACACCCACACTTTGGTGTGGGTCCTACCTGTGAAGTTCAACTCGACTTATATATGGGTTTTTCAAAAACACTCACACAATGAAATACTTCCCAGCTGTTGCTGTTCCATAAAAGGTAAATACCACCCAGTAAGTCTGAGATTGAGAACATGAACCCGAAAATCAAATTGAGTCGTTCTGCCAGTTGAGGCTACAACTTACTACCACTAATAGCTTGGTCATCTACTTCACCTGTGCTTGGAATCCTCACCCAGTTGACACTTGTGAGGGCCACTTGCTGCTGTTCATAAATTTATCTTTTCTTCTTGAGTGATCAGGACTTACAGAATTACTCTAACAGATATAAGGCAGAATTGGATTCAATTGGATTACTAAAAATGGCAGTGGTGCCCATGTTGGTAATTCCTTCAGTCCTTCTCATTGTAGAATACAGAAAGGTGCCATGTCAGAAGGGATCCTCATCAAGAGGCACACCTGAGTGAGCCTGGGAACTTCTTTAGAGTGAGCCCTCAGTCAGATTCCCACAGTCCTAGTTATCAGCTTGATTGCTGCTTTGAGGCCCGGGGACATCCTGTTAAATTGTTCACAGACCCTGGGGACCTAGGAGATGATAAGGTATTCCACTCTCATGTGCTAAATTTCATAGTAATACAATATAATAAGTAGCTAATCAACTCTCAAATCATCAGTTTTCTTATCTGGCTATATATTCAGAAGGAACCTGTCTGGTACACTCCTAGAAAGGATTGAAAGTGACAATGTGCATTGGCACATAGAAATTACTTGACAAATATAAGTTATTATTATCACATCATTTCATGGCCTACTCCTTCTTCTTTTGATCAGTTTTTTTGCCCATTTCCCTCCAATTTTCCTCATGATTCACAAAGTTTATTATTAAAAAGAACTCATTTCCACATAAAGATGGTCATTTTGAATTCTTAATTTTGGGTTCTTAATCCTTATGGTAGTGATATTATATTCTTAAATGATATATCTACATTTCTGCCTTAGTTTTTGGTTCTTATACATTATCTACCTACAAAAAAGAAATGATAAGATTTTAACTCTTTAATACTGTATATCTTCCCTAACATATTAACAACTTTCATTCTCACTTCTTTCCAATAGAGTTACAGTATAAATAACAGCTATCACTTGCTCTCAAACGTATGTGTAACAATATTGTAGCTATAACTGTCTAAAATTTCTCCTAAAATATTCAAATAAAGTTAATAGAAATGCTTCCTATCAGGAGAGAAAAAAAGAAATCAGGCAATGGTGGCTAATGTCTGTAACCTTAGCTGCTCAGGAGGCTGAGATAGAATGGTCCAAGGTTCAAAGCTAGTTTCAGGTAGAAAGCCCACGAGACTCTTATATCCAAATAATCCGCAAAAGTATGGGAATATAGACAGGACTCAAGTGGTAGAGCACAGCACAAGGCCCTGAGTTAAAACCCCAGTAATCCCCCACACACACAAAAAGAAAGAAAGGAAAGAAGGAAGGAAGGAAGGAAGAGTGGGAGGGAGGGAGAGAGAGAGGATGGAGATTAGTAATGATAAAAACTAGACCATTCTAGAAGAGTTAATAGTTTTTAACTTTGAGTTTTTAACTCATGTCAAATTTAAAATAATTAAAAGCAAGGTTTGTACAAGGAAATGAGCAATCTAAAATTGGAAGGAAATGAAAACACATTAACTAGAAATTCAACTAATTTGAGATGCATAATTTTTATATTTTATTACAGATTTCAAATGTATATAAAACACACAGAGCAGAATAAAGTGAATCTGACTTCCTTATAACCAGCTTCAATCTTTCTCAGTATTTGATTTGCCTTCCATTGTCTATAATCTCAGTGTTTCAATTACTCATCATCTTACAAAAGCAAAATGCAATATAAACTACTCCAAATTTGACTTAAAACATCCATTCTGTAGTTATAGAGAATTTTAGGCTGAGTTCAGCTGGGCAATTCCTGGCTAGTCTCAGTGACATGTAAGGGTACCCCACAGGGTTTTAGGTCAGCTTCAGGTCAGTGGGATACCTGTCTTCATCTGTGTGTTCTCACACCCTGATGCATGTGTTGGTATGGTACACACTCCTAGTGCAGCAGGAGTAACTAGGTTTGCAAGCATGAGCCACTGGTGGTCAACTAAAAATACAGCCCAGGCTAGTCTCAAACTCATGATCTTCCTGCCTCATCTTCCTCATTGATTACCAGCATGTACCATCACGGCCAGCTCAAAAGTTTGAAATATTAACTGTTTTTCTTCATATTACTATTGTAATTTAATAGGATTGAATTATTTTAGTATTATTGTAATCGAAGAGATTTAGCAAAAATAATACTTAAAATGGTAATTTGGCAAGTAAAGTAGGATGTATTTCCAGGAAACCAGCATTAGAAATATCTTAAATGTATTGAATGTCTTGTTTTCAACTAATATTGCTATTTTGTTATGCAATTGTTATTTAAGACAAAAAAGTTAATATACAATAAATTCATTGTTAATTAATTTTTACCATAAAATAAAAAAACTGAAGGTACACAATTATATAAAAGTCTTCAGTTACAATATTACTCTGTGATCAGTATAAACCATTCTTATGACCTTTTATTTTTTCATTGTTTGATCACTGAAAGTGCTAGATGGAGTCTACTCTGTTATTGTCTTTAAATACAATTTCTCAGAAGAAGGAAATAAAGTTCTGCTGAGTCACTGTTGGGAGCTGGGAAAGTACATGTTGAAATTAGAGCACATCTAGTTTTATATCAAACACAAGGTGATACAAAAAATGGAATCAGGTCAAAATAGCACTGGTACAATCTTATTAAAATTGGGCCATCAAAAATAGGCACTTTAGCTATTAAAATATGCATTTGCTAATATGTATCTGAATATCTACCTATCTCACGTACATATCAAATTCCATTTGCCACATCTAGAAGTTGCTAGTGAGTAAACTTACGTTATAAAAATTGCAAAGAATACAGTGCTTGTCCTAAGTTTCATATATTAACCATAGTTGAGAGAAAACTAACAGGTCAAGGAAAAGAAATCAATCTTTGGAAAATATCAAAAGCTATGAAATACAAAAGGCATATGATACTCTTCTCACCACTTTATCTGCAGAAGAACATTCTGAGATTTGCAATAAATGCTTTAGATGATGGATTATTCTGAGTCCCATATGCACTGTCTTTTCCTGTTTGCCTTTCAATGAAAAAATTTAACTTACAAATTAGGCAGAGCATAATATTGTAAAAATAACAAAATACAAGAATGCAATAATATATTTTAATAAAAAATGTGGCTATGACTTGCCTTTATCCCTTATCTCACACTTTCAAATTATCTCCTTTGAACTGTCCTGGACTTTCATATCCCAGTGGAGACCACCAATAATACAGCTATGGAAGTTTCAAACACTGGTCAGTAGGAACTATTTGAACAGCATTCCAAGAAAGTCTATTTGTAACACCTAATTGAATAAAAGGATAATAATCATTGAGGAGTGATAGAATAATTGTGTGCATTGATAGTGAATATTCCATGGATGGATTTAGCTAGAAACACTAACATATTGGGTATTCTTCTGGGTAATTCCAAAGGAACCTCGAGCATGTTATAATGTAAGTCACATAGCCCACCTAAAACACACTCTTCTAAAAATCACAGAATGTATTTACTTGATGCTTGTGATGACAATGCAGGAGATGAGGACA